AACAAAAAAAAAACCTGATGCTTTGTAATAGAGCTTGAAGTCAGGTATTACAATGGCTCCTGCTTTGCTCTTGTAGCTCAAATTGCTTTTGCTCTTCTGGTTGCATATGTATTTTAGGGTTTATTTCTTTAGATCTATAAGCACACTCTAAGTATCATCTTAGGGTGTGGGTACATATATATAATATAATTTGGTTTTTGAAATCTTTTTCTCTTTCCCTCCCAACTTTCACCCTCCTCTTTGATTCCCCTTACTCCATTTTTATTCTTATTTTAATGTTATTAATTCCAGCATATATTTGTGGCATAAAATGTTTACATTCTTTGAGATCACTAGGTTCCTGTAAATGGAACATCTTTATTCTACAGATTTTCCCTTGTACTGACCATCACCTCTCACCCTTTTTCTCTTGGACCCCTTTCCATTTGTAAGAGATCCATCTCCTTGTCTCCTTCCACCCATTTAATTTATCCTCTTGTTTTTGTGCTCTTGATGTTATGTTGACTAAGAATGCATTTAATCTGTTTGATAATTTTGGGGAACTGGCCAATGTGACAATGTTGGTTCTACCTATCCAGGAGCACAGGACATCTTTCCATTTTCTGATGTCTTCTTCAGTCTCTGTTTTCAGAGTACTGTACTTTCCTTTGTAGCTGTATTTCAGTTCCTTGGTTCACTTAATTTCTAACTATTTTGTCTTCAAGCTACCATAAATGGTATTGTTTTCATGATTTCTTCTCATTGAGTTTGTTATTGGTGTACACATTGTTAATAACTTTTGGGTATTGATATTGTATCCTGCTACATTGTTGAAGTTGGTTATGAATTCTAAGAGTTTTTGGTGAACACTGGGGTTCAGTGTTGCTCCCACAATTGTTGGGGGTTGCAGGATGTGGCTCACCAAGGACTTTAATCACTCCAGTTCTTTGGGTATTCTATGTAGAGTACCATGCCATCTGCATTTTGTGATAGTTGGAGTTCTTCCTTTCCTATATGTGCCCTTTTATTTTTTCTTTCCCAATTGCTCTTGCTAATGTCTCAAGTACTATATTAAGTAAAATTGGTGATAGTGGGTATGCCATTTAATAGGATGTTGAATGTTGGCTTTTCATATATATATACCTTTATATATAAACCCAGGTATATATATATGAAACCCTTTTCAGGTATAGTCCTTTGATACCTATTTTCCTCAGGAATCTTATCATGAAGGGATGTTGGATGTTTTTGAAAGCCTTTTCTGAATCTATAGATATGATCGTGTGGTTTTTGATTTTGCTTCTGTTTATGTGGCATATTACATTAATTGATTTGCATATGTTGGAACATCCTTGCATCTCTGGGATAAACTCACTTGGTCATGATCTATGTTTAGTTTGATGATGTGCTACATTCCGTGCATTATTATCTGGTTGGGGATTTTTGCATTTGTGTTCATTAGGGAGATTGGTCTATAGAATTCTTTTTTAGTTGGGTCTTTATCTCGCATTGGAGTCAAGGTGGTGCTGGCTTCCATAACTGAGTTTATGATCTCTGCATTTCTTTCAATTTCTTTGATGAGCTTGAGGAGTACTAGTGATACAAAATGCTAAATATATGTAGAATTCCACAGCGAATTATCAGATCCTGGGCTTTATTAACTTTGTAGATTCATTACTGTCTTTACTTGACTGCTTGTTACTCAGTTAGTCAGTGTTTTTCTTTTCCTTGGTGAGCTTTGTTCATTTGTATGAGTCTAGATATGTGTGTATTTCTTCAAAATTTACCAATTTGCTAGAATACAATTTTCCAAAGTAGTTACTTTCTTCTGAATTTTGTCTGTTTCTGTTTTTATTTTGCCTTTTTCATTTCTACTTACGTTGATGTGAGTCTTTTCTTGGTAAGTCTGATTAAGGGTTTATTTATTTTGTTTATTCTTTCAAAACACCAGCTCTTCAATTTGTTGAAGTTTTTAAACTTTCATTTGAGTCTCAATTTCATTCATTTCCACTCTAACCATTACAGTTTCCCTCCTTAAGTTCAGCTGAGGCTTGGATTATTATTATTTCTGAAATATCTCAAGATTCCTCAATGCTTTATTGACTTAGGTTAGCTCTGCTTTTGTGAGGGTGAGCATTGACTGCAATGAACTTTCCTCTTTTGAATGATTTCATAGTGTTCTAGAGGTTTCAGTGTGTTGTACAGTCATTTTCAATAACTTCTAGGAATTTTTAAATTTCCTTCTTGATTTATTTTGTTATCACTGTTTGTTGAGGAGAATGTTTTTAATTTCCAAAGTGCTTGTGTCTTTAATGTTATTTCTTGTGTCTTTTGTTTCTATTCTAATTGCACAGTGGTCTGATAGTACACATGGGGTAACTTTGTTTTTTTGTGTTTATTTAAACAGGCTTTGTTACCTAGTACGTTATCTATTTTGGAAAAAGTACACTGTGCTGCAGAAAAGAATGTACACACTTTAGTATTACAGGGTATTCTGTCAATATCAATTATGTTTTCACATTCAGGGATGCAGTGAGCTGATATTTCCTTACTGATTTTTTTAAATTGATCTCTTTCTTGGTGAGAGCAGGAACTCTAGATCCACACAATCTTTGTGTTAATATTTTTTGATTATTTATGTTCAGTGATATTTTTTGATGAAGGTACTTGTCCTGTACTTGTTGCAGAAATATGTATAAATGTAAAATCTCTTCCTGTTGGAGTGTTTCCTTAAGTAGTATGTAGTAAGTCGACTCAGCATGGAAAGGTTTTGAGATGGAGACAGTCTTGACTGGAAGAAACTTTTCCTTGATTTCTGGAGAAGAGTGGTAAAGAAAGAAAGAAAGAAAAAAGTGACTCTTTGCGCAAGAAATAAAAAAGTGACTCTTCCCTATTAGCTGTCACCCTCTCGAAGCCTATCATCAAAGCCTTGCTCTCACCTGGTCTCTGTGATTTGGTGTCATTGCCATCTTGAAGCAAAACACACCTCCTGGTTCTTGGTTACTTCTTTGTTCATGTCAGCCTGTTGATTGTCAATTTTCTTGACTTGTGCTGAGAAAAACCCATTGCCTTGGGTCATGGTGCATGACTCCCTCCTCTGCTGGCTCAGCATGGGTGTTGGGTGGGTGTCAGTGTTGGCTACAGTCATGGTGCGTAGTTCCCAAGTCCTATGCCTTCTGTTGGGCCTGAGAAGGTGTTGGTGTCTCTACTGTCTCTTCAAAAATGATTCTGAAGTCATTTTTATATTTATTAATAAAATAATAAAAAGGGGTGTAGTGTTAATAAGATGAGGAAATCATAAGAGAACCATTATTACAAGATTGAATGAAAACTTTTCCTTCTTTTCACTCTTTTCTTATTTTGTCTTCTCTCTTTTTCCATCCTGCTCTTCTTTTCCCTTCTTTTCCTCCTCATATTCCTCATTCTCTTTCTTCTCTCCTCCTCCTTCCCCTGTTCCTCTTGTTCCTTCTCCTCCTCTTTGTATGCCTGGAGATTGAACCCAGGTCCTTCACAGTGTACTGCATATCTAGAATATTTAAACTTTTATTTTGTGACCAAGTCTCACTAACTTCCCAGTCAGGGCCTGAACTTGTGATCTTCCTACCTCATCTTCCCAGAAACCTGAGATTACAGGTGTGCACATCATCCTGCTTGGACTGAAAACTTTTTTCCATAAAATATCCATTACCCTAAGGCAGAGTTAATATAGCAGACTGACTTGTGTCCTTATTGATCTTTCAGACCTAACTTACTTCCATTTAGACAGTCATTTGACCTTGCTGTTGGGTTAAATTTGTATGTGAAGAAACACTCAAGACCCTCCATTCCACATAGGTGGACACTTTTGCACATGTGTATTCTGGCAGTGATACTAAAATCAGTAAAAGCATCAGGAGATAAACTTGTAAGATCTCTCTATAGATGTTAACTTATTGACTAGAATTCAGTTTCTATTAGTGTATCAGACATGTCCTTCCAATCAGCACCTCTATTTCTGTCATTTTATCAGTTACCAGGGAACACAGCTCCTTGAGTTGTCCACAGAATCACAGCCTTTCCAGGGTATAAATATCTGAAAGCTCACGGTACTTTCATTGCAACTGTGAGAGGGTGAATAGTTTCCCATGGCCAGCAACACTAAGTTATGGTATAGTAAATATCAGCTTGAATGTCTGCAACTTTCAGTCATCATCACTCCACTCCTTTATTCTTGAACACCTTCAGAGATAGACATTTTCAACTAGCCCTGTCTTCAAGTGCAGGATGAATAGTGCCACAAAGCTTAAATTTGTGAATGCATTCCTGAGAGCTGGTTCATCATGGTGGTTGTCTTCTTGTTGCTGGGACAAAAATACCCAACACCCCAAGTTAAGGAAGGAAAGGTTTATTGAGCTCACAGATTGTGGAGGTTTCAGTCCATACTTGGCTGGCTCCAAGGCAGAGTGACACATGGCAGAGGGCAACCGTTCATGTTGGCAGCAAGCAGCAAAAGCAACAAGAGCAAAAGGGAGGAGCAGCAGAGAGTAAGCCTCTTTCCCTCCCTTATATTGTATGCAGGCTACCTGTCCCAGGGTGGGTGTAGTAATCACACCCATAATCGCAGAATTGGACCAGGAATCAATCAAAAATCTAGAAGCCTGCCCATGACTGCATGAGGTTTTGGGGGAACATCTATACACAAACCATAACACTGGTCTAATTAAAGAATTTCAGAAGTAATTGAAGCAATCTTTTATCACAGAACTCAGGAGACTGAGGCAGAAGGATTGCCATGAATTCAAGGCCAACCTGGGTAAGAGGTTGAACTAAAGGCCAGGCTGAACTAAATACTGAGACACTGTCTTACCCCCTCCCTCTAAAAAAAAGAAAGAAAAAACTTTACTTAAAACAAACTGAAACAAGCTTCAGAAGAGGACCTGCATTTTGAATCTCTGACCAGCAACTGATGATGCTATTCATCTCTGATGCTGATTGGTTCTTCAATCCTGAGGTTCTCCAACTCAGCATCACAGAAGTGAATTTTTGGTACTTATCATTTGGGATGTAAGCAGAGAGGATACATAAGTGAGATTTATCTGCCTCAGTCTGACCCAGTCCCGTCTTGCTCTCCAGTATGCTGTGTCTGTGGCTCCCCGGAGGCTCCTGCATGGCAGCTCTCACAGTGACACTGATGGTGCTGAGCCCTCCCCTGGCTTTGGCCAGGGACACACGACGTAAGTGCAGCCCTTAGCTGGTAAACTATGATAGGTGGGAGCAGGAATGGAGTTAACTTTCTTGCTTTGTCCAGGCCGAGTTCATTAAAACTTGTGACATTTTTTTTGCATGACTTCTTATCTTCATCATATAGATTCTTTCCACCAGAAGGAGCCTCTGTGTGAGTTTTTTTCCTGTGAGACTTATATAAGAAGAGAGTATGTTTAAAGTTTTAAGATATTACAGTTAAACACACATTGCCCTTAGTTCCCCTCACGATAGTCCCACTTGCTCTGAACACATCATATTCTTCTTGATGGATGTTGGATGGCACTTAGTAGCATTGACTGTATTCTTGAAAATCACAACTGCTACAGCAGACAGTAAAAGAAATCTCCAGAGCTGCTTCAAAATATGAGAAGTATTTTTTAGTTTATTTTCTTGGTACGTTGTAGGTATACATAATGATCACATTCATCATAGGGAATTTGTACCTGTGCATGATACATCTTACTCCTTTTTTTCCCCATGCTGCTCTGCTCCCTTCAGCCCCTCTTCCCATAATTATCTACAAAAGCTTTGTTTCCATTCTGTTCCTTCTATTCTCTTTTTTTTCTTTTCCCTTCCTTCCTCCCCCCACCCCTGTCTTATGACCCTTAATGTATGGGACACACATTCAAATATCACATTGTTTCTCTGGTGTGAGAAACCGAAGATATAAATAAGGATCAAAATATATAATAGATGTTAAGAAATTTTAAAAATTTGAACATTAATCATTTCAATCACCACTTTTATGTTTATATTATACATATATGTGTATGTGGTTTTATATATTGAAACTAAGGAAACACATGTGACCCATAAACTTTGTGAGAAACACCTTCACCTTATCACTTATTTAAAATGAATTTGAGGGGCTGGGGATTTAGCTCAGCAGCACAGCACCTGCCTGGCAAGTGCAAGGTCGTGAGTTCGATTCCTGGTACCAGAAAAAAATAAATAAATAAATAAAATAAAATAAAATGAATTTGACAAAACATTTTTCAAAAAATGTAGCTTTCTGACTTGAGAAATTCAGATATGGGATTGTGGGCCTGCATCATTATTTTATTTGATCTCATTAAACCTGCTCAGCAGCCTCCCATTCCTTAAAAACCAAAATCCTGGCATCAACTACAAGGCTGGGTCCACATGACATCCGATCTAATCTTTTCACATAATCTTTATCCTGTCCACTCATTTTCTGTGCTTCTGAGCCTTTTGCACATGGTACTGCCTTTATCTTCCCCCAAAACATAGTTCTAGACCACACATGTCCTCCAGCTCACTTGAACTGAACATTTCCTGGCCCATTCCACAGACATTCCTGAGTCCCTCCCTGGCACCCTGTTGTCATTTAGGTGTTCCTGCTCTTCTGTGTGAAAAGACTTCCACACTTCTGCCATCTCCCGCTCCTGCACAATTTCCCCTGTTTGGTCTGTGTCCTTCCTGCTCCCTTCACCAATGTGAACTCCTACCTGTCTGTTTTTGTGCCTTTGGGTTTGCAGGGGCATCGCAGAGTTAGAAGGAAGGAGACTGTGTAGCAGGAGGAGAGGGTCCCATGCAGGACAGACTGAAGCTCTCTGGGCTGAGGGAGAGGGCAGGATGTGTTTTGGGTGAAGCCTTCGAACAGAAGGTGTGGGGCAGGGTGGAGGGAAAATCCCAGTCCAGCCCCTGAGCCTGGGACTGGGCCAGCAGGGAGGGGTAGTTTTGGGAATGGGGTTGAGGAGGAGCGGTGTCCTCGCCCAGCGAGTTCCTCTGCCCAGGGGAGGGGAAGTGTGGACCCCTGGGTGCTGATGTGTGCCTGGCTGGCACTGTCCTCCCAGGAGGAGGCCTGTGACCAGGTCACTCCTCTCCCACAGCACGTTTCTTGAAGTATGCTAAAGGGGAGTGTCACTTCTCCAATGGGACTGAGCAGGTGCGGTTCCTGGTCAGCTGGATCTACAACCAGGAGGAGTACATACGCTTTGACAGCGCCTTCGGCAAGTTCTGCGCCGTGACTCAGCTGGGGCAACCGACAGTCGACTACTGGAACAGCCAGACGGAGTACCTGAAAAATGTAAAGGCTGCCGTGGACAGGTGCAGATACAACTATGAGATTATTGAAAAATTTACTGTGCAGAGGAGAGGTGAGTGTAGGGCCTGGGTAGCCAAGGAGAGGGAAGGAGGGAGGAAGAGGAAGGGAGAGACGTGGAGGGAGAGGAAGAATGAAGGGGAAATTGAAAGAGGGGAGAGTGAGAGATACAGGGAGACAGAGGGAGCAGGACAGGGACAGGGTGAGAGAGAGAGGGAGACAGCAGAGACAGGGAAGAAGTGAGCGAGAGAGGAATGAAGGTGAGGGAGGGAAAGAGGGAGAGAGCAGGAGAAAGAAAGAGAGGGAATGAGAGGAAAGGGTAAGAGAGAGAATGAGAGATGGAGAGACAGGAAGGGAGAAGGGGAAGGGAAGTGAAGAGGTACAGAGGCAGGGAGACCAAGTGGGAGGAAGAGGAGGAGAGGGAGATAGGAGAAAGAGAAAGACAGAGAGAGTGAGAGAGAGAGAGAGAGAGAGAGAGAAGGAGGAGGAGGAGGAGATGGTGGGAGAGAGTAAGAGAGGCCGGGAGGAGAGGGGGAGAAGTTGTCTGTCCTGATGTGTGGAACTGTGAGCAAACAGAAGTTGTGAGGGTTTATGTGAGAATCGATGGTCCTTGGGGAAGTGTGTGATTGTGTGTGTGATGAGAGCGAGGGGATGGGTGGGGGAGAAAGGCACTGTGTGCGTCCTGTGCCCCTGAGGCTGGCCCTAAACAGAGCAGGGGCTGGGCTGTGGGCACAGGAGGGGCTCGGAGGAGGAGGGAGGGGATGCCAGAGTAGGGAAGGAGGAGCAGCAGGCCCAGGCTGATGGTAAAGGGAGCAGGCACTGGGGGAAAGGCTGAGACATGCAAAAGCAGGCGAGGAAAATGTAGGCATCTTTGGCTGGGCTGAGGTTGCGGGTAAGACAGTGGGTGTCGGCAGCTGGGATGCTGTGAGGAAGCCGCTTACACAGTGCCCTTGGCTTGCAGCCTGCTTCGTGAAGCTCAGGAAACACATGTGCACTATGTGGGCACGTTTCAGGGGGCAAAAGTGTCAGATTAATGTGGTGGTGTGGAGGGAGACAAGGCACCTGGGGCCTTTTCCAAGGCTTCTTTTAGGTCCCAATTCCCTACTCTTTCTGATTTTTTTTTCTTCAGTGTATACACCTTTACACAGCTGAAGAGACGGTGAAACTGGTCCTTGATTATAGTTTTGTTACTTAAACTATACTGGTGTTACTATTTTTATAAACTAGTAACATTGAGGTGATTATGCATTATTCCTTCTGTAGTTGTAACTCAATTTCTGATTCCACTTGGTGAGATCTTTTTTTAAAATACTGACAATTCAGTTCTCCGTTAGTGTTGTATGTGTAGATAGTTCCTTTGTATATAGAAATCTGAAAAAGTATTCCAGTGTGCTATGTAAAATGGTATAAGGTTTGCATGTAACTTATGTATATCCCCCTTTGTATTTCAAATTATGTGTAAATTACTTATAATACTTAACACTGTGTGAATACTATCTACATAACTGGTGTATTCTTTAGGCAAATATGACAAGAAAACAGTGATTATGTTCAGTACAAAAACATATTTTTCAATATATACTCTTGGATATAGATGTCCACCTGTACTCTAAAATATTATCCGGTAATTTTTAACTTTAATTTTTTGATTTTTAAGGTTTGTCAACGTTTTCCCACACCTATTAGCAAGCACAGTTACTCTAAAAAATTATCTGTTTCTTCTCTGGGGCCTACTGCTTTACTGCTTTCTAAGTGATTTTATGGGTTCTTTATGCAGAAATATTCTTCCTATCTTCTTGTTATTTTATTCAGCATATTCTCCATTTTCTAGTTTATATTTCATTTCTGTTTAATACTGTTCACATCCAGAATGTAAAGATTTTACTTCATAAAATACATCGTAACATTGTTGGTAATGATTTACTCGCAGTCTTATATCTGTCATTTTCTGGCACTGTGAAAATGTGTCCTTTTGGAAGAATGCACCTAGTGAGGTTGGTGTTGAAAGGGACCGGAACAGGCATGAAGCGCACGTACTAATAAGTCCCAGACACTGTGCTAGCCACAAGGGTCAGTTCAGAAAGGAAGACAGATACAGCACCGTAACAATAAGTAGGTTTGTTTGGTAAGGGAGAGGCATTCCTCAGGTGAGTGAAAGAGGGGAATCTTCCTAAAGGATTGATTTTCTTTGCTGCTTTGCCTCTGCTCAGGACTCCTGAGCCCCCTGGAACTCAGTTCGGAGCCTTAGAGACATCTCTCTGCCCCTGCTTCCCTGTGTGCAGCCCTTCCTGGCTGGAAGTGTGACTGCACGGAGAGAGCATTCCCAGGGTTCCGTGCTCCAGCCCTCTCCTACTGCACCGCTCTCCCCTAGTTTTCCGTGCTGATGTGATTTTGATTCACACATAGGAAATAGGAGAGTAATAAACAAGGAAAATACATTGGTGGCTAAATTCTAGTCCATGCTCTATGTGTTTCAGCTGCTTTAATTTTAATTTAACACTATATGGTGAGTCAGTATCCTTATCTCACTACAAGTGAGAAAGCTGAGGTGCAGAGAAATGTAAAACCTCTTTCAGGATTAGCTAGGGAGAGGGAAAGCCTGGATTTGAACCCAGACAGTCTGGCTCCAGAAATCACACTTTTAATCAATTCTTCATTTACTTTGGAAACACTTGAAAACACTTTGTTTTATAACAAATGGTCAGGTCAAGCAAATCAGAAATGTAATTCTATTTTTCAAATCTCTTGTGTCCTTGCTTTGAGGATTAAATTGCAGGCTCAGGATAGATGTGAGGAGGTGAGTGAGGACTGGGTCTGTTGCTGGAGAGACCCCGAAAGGCAGCCAGCCAAGAGCTGTTCTGCCTTCCTGACTGGGTCTCTCTGCCTTTTCTCCTCTAGTTGAGCCCAAGGTGACCGTGTACCCCACAATGACCCAGTCCCTGCAGCACCGCAACCTCCTGGTCTGCTCTGTGAGTGGCTTCTACCCAGGCCACGTGGAAGTCAGATGGTTCCGGAACGGGCAGGAGGAGGAGGCTGGGGTGGTGTCCACAGGCCTGATCCGGAACGGAGACTGGACCTTCCAGACCCTGGTCATGCTGGAAACTGTTCCTCAGAGCGGAGAGGTTTACGCCTGCCAGGTGGAGCACCCGAGCTGGAGCAGCCCTGTCACGGTGGAGTGGAGTGAGTGGGAAACCCCTCACCTCATAAGTTCCCCTCTCACAGATATGGGGTCTTCTCTTATCCTTGGGTGGTGGGTTTCCCCTCTTCACACAAAATTATGCATTTGCTCCATTTTCTCATCTCCTTCAGGATCATTCATGGGAGGAGAATTGGGAGCGTTTCTACAGACACTGGCACACATTCACCAGCCAGTTATGCCTGTCACATAGCAGAGAAGTGTTCCTCTTTTGAACCTTCTCACGTGATCATTAGGGATAGTCACCTCTTGGCCCTATCTCTAGATCCTGCCTCTGGGCTGGTCTTGTTTTTCGGGAGCAGCAGGTTCCAGGTTGTACACCGTGGTCTGGGAGGAGAAGTAATGCAGTGCCTTCCTGATGGGAGGGGAGTCCATCCTCAGTTCTGCCTTTCATGAACTCTGTCACTCTAGACGACTATTCAGCCTCACTGAGCTCCAGACACTGCACACATAGTTTGATATTTTAGGACTGTGAGATTTAAATGAACCAAGTGCATGAGATTTACACCTACTCAATGCAATTTTTAAATCTTTTTTCCCAAAAATGGCCAGTTTCAGCTTTTGAGTGTAGGAATCCTTCCTCTGGTCTTAAAATTCTGAATCTCAGGGTCTCAAAGAGGGAACTTGTGTTTGGGGTATTAAAAACATCCCTACACCTGACATCTCCTCTCAGGGCCACAGCCTGGATCTGCACAGAGCAAGATGCTGACCGGCATCGGGGGCTTTGTGCTGGGCCTGCTCTTCCTTGGGGCAGGGCTCTTCATCTGCTCCGGGAACCAGAGAGGTAAGAGGCCTACTGGTGTCTGTAAGGCTCAGCAGCAGGCAGAGAGCAGAGGCAACCTGGCGTGGGATTTACTGTGCCTGGCTGCAGGCCATAAAGCCTTCCGTAGGGAACAAAGAGAAGCGGCCTCCTTTTGTAGAGGTTGGAAGAGGCCAAAGGACATAAGACGGGAAGATCTTAAGAAACATCTGTGGTCGAAGCTCTCTGGCGGTCCTGCCCCTCAGCAGGCAAAGTCCTTGAGGATCCTGTGCGTATTTTCCAGTGTCTCCTGCTGCCTGAAGACCAGCAAGATTCCTTGTCCTATCTTTTATCTCCATTATGACATCCTGTGGTTGCAGACGACAGCCTCAGTGCTCAGCTGTGCTTTCACTGAGAGCAGTCCCTCTGCTGGCAGACAGGTTGGGGGCTGCATGAGTCACGTCCAGTTTTTGCCTCACAGCGGCCAAGACTTGCCGCATTCTTTTCTCGGGGGAAGATGCACTGCTTTCCTATGGTAGTTCTTGGTATTTTGGCCTCCCTGTATGAAGCCCTTCTTCCCTCAGGTTACTTCAAATTTCCTGAGAACTCAGAAATGAACTGTTTAGGGGTCTTCTTTGAAACCCAGGCATGGTAGCTTGCAGAGGGAAGGGACAGGTGAGCAGCCTAGAAATACTGAGTGGAGAACAGAGGGTAAAGAAAGAAGACCCACCGACCAGGAGATTTATGGGGCAGAAGCTTCCTTGCTCACATTCTCTTGGTTTGTGTTCCTTTCTCTGCCCTGCCTGGCAGGGACTGTGATTTCAGAGAAAACTCAAGTGGCAAATCTTGACACTGGTGACATTGTGTTTGGGGACAGGTGTTCCTTCATGTCTTTTAAAGTCTGTTTTTCCTCTCTTTTCCAGGACAATCTGGAGTTCAGCCAACAGGTAATGTCCTCAAATCTCCCATAGACAGATTTGCACTCCCTGTAAGGGACTGTAAAAGGCATGAGACATGAAATGGAGATAATGTGAAAGATTCTGGGTGCAAAGTTCTGATCTATACCACTCCTCCTGCATTAAACCTTCTTTGCTGCGTGTAACAAAGCCCTGTGCTCTGACGTAGCATTGACTCAGGGAGACTTGAGAGAATTTTACTTTTCCTCCTGCAGTGTTATCATGAGAGGGGGAAGCTGCATTCTGAGTGAGGTCTGGAAACACTGCTGTCTTCTGTCTCTGCAGGACTCCTGAACTAAAGAGATGGCGACAGCACTGAAGGAAGGACCTGTGTCCCTGCTTCTCCATGTCTTCTCCACATGCAGACAGACTTCCTGCTTGGCTCTCCTTCTCCCACTGGGAAAAGCTGTCCTAGTACTCAGGACCATATAGCACGCATCCTCCTGATGGCTTCCTGAGACCTTAGAACCTAGCTGGAAGTCCAGGCCCAGATTGCAGTATCTTCCCTTCATTCCATCCTGGCCCGTTTGTCCTCAACATTCACCTCTTCAGTGCTCCTGCACTCACCTTGTGCAGCATTGCTTTGTTACTTTTTTCTCAAATAAACATAGAGTGGAAAATCATCTGCTTCCTACAATTTTGAGGACAAAAAATAGAAGAGAACAAGAAGATAACATCACAATGCACCATTAGTTTTCATTTATGCATGATAAGTGTTGTGAGGGGATGCATATGTCACATTGATTGTGTTAGCCAGTTCCCAATACCTAGAGATGAAAACATCATATTCCATGAAATAAATGTATATAATTTTTTCTTCTCATGTAAAATACATTTTAAAATTAGATTGGAATTATAAACCCCATGCTTAAAAATATAAAATAGACTCAAACTAATTGAAACAAACTTGATCAAAATTATACGACAGGAAACATGCTGGAAAAGTAAAATACTTTGCTCAAAACATTGTAAAAGTCTTACTGCAAGTTAGTGTATAGATCTCCCCTGATAGACGTTGTCATATGCTGGCACAGAGCAGCTGGAGAAGCATTGGGGACAGCATACACATTGGTTGAGAAGATGGAGAATTCTGCTCTTCTGTTCCATTCAAAGAGTTGGTTTCAAATGTAAGTCAAATCAAAACGTAAATAATTCGGAAGTTTAGTTAAGAATAACAATCTCTTGAACATAGGTCTTTGCTCTCCTATATAGTTCCTATTTTTAAGTAAGTAGACTATGCATTATTATGCCTCATTTAAATTACCTCATGAGTTATTTGTACAAAGCTGATTTTCCCATTTGAACTTCATGGGCTGATAGTGATGTCCATTCTGTTACAATGTGAGTTGCGACTTTACTGTGACTTTGTTTCCCCAGTGGAAGAAATTATTTATGCCAAATTATGTAGGAACTGTGTTATTAAACTCTAAGGTGGGACTAAAACATATGACCAAAATTTCAGTCAAGATGCTTTATATTCCAAATAGCTGGTAATCCAATCTAATTGTTCTATTTTTCAACTTCCGATGGCAGGGAGAAGTTAGATCAAAATGGGTGTCTCAAAGGCTGCTCACTTTAGCAGACAGGTGGCCCCTGAAATGACCACGTAGTTTCATTCTTCTTCTCTTGTCCTCCACAGCCTGTCCTTGGTCCTGCGATGGCAAAGGGACAACTGCGGCACCTTTGGGTTTCATGTTCACAGCTTAAACCACTATGAAGTTGAAAGTCTTTCTTCTCGAGTGTTTCTGTAAGTAGCATCCGAACTTCTTCCAGAGTTCCCAGTCAAGCCACTTACTCATTCCTGGCAAGAAGCAGGGGATGTTGGTGACAGCTCTGACAAACCTTCCTTCAAACTTTGGGACCTGGCCCTGATGCCATGGGGATAGCAGCAGCAATATTGTATCTATTTTGAAAGAAAAAATTGATTGAAAGACAATGATTCAGGAATAAAGAATTGATAGTTTCTGAAACCGTTACGTTTACCACTAGTATTTTCAGTTGATTTTGTCATGCAGTCTGATGGATTCTTGGTAAGAACCCTGAATAGTTTTGTATCTATTTAAAAATATATACTGAGTATTAAGTGCCAGCCATTAATTCAACTATAGTAAACAAAATTCAAAACTATTGCTTGTTTTTGGAAGTACCCTAATATATAATTTTACAAGGGAATTATATTTCCTAAGTAATGTTTTAAAACAGATATAACAATGAAAATATGACCTCATAGCATGTTATAACATGGGGTATATCTATTTTAATATGTACATTTTGGTATTTATTCATTGTTGATTAAATACATAAGTGTGACTGTGGGCAGAATTAAAACAGCAGCTCTTTAGAAGTATTTTACGATACACAGAGAGTTTCAAATAGTTATAGAAAATGTCCCAAAGTTATTCCTTTCACAAACTGCCCTCTGATGAGCAAAAAGGAAACAAAGTACAAAATTAATCAAATATTATATTATTATCATTAAATATGTCTGAGACTAGAAACTCATATAAAGTTTTATGAGGTTTCAGATGAGAGTGTGTATTGCTAGTGCTTTGGAAAATAGCAATTTCTTACAATGTTACATAGTTTCTGTGCTGCCCAGCAATTCCATAACCTGGAATCATCCGTGAGAAATGAAAGACAAATCAAGCCAGAACAAAAATACATGTCACTGTAATGATGGGGGATACAATCCATAATAGTAAAGTTATAGAATCACCTTAGGTGTCCATCAAGGGGCAAATGGATGAAGAAAATGTGTTATACAGTCTATACACAATGGAGCACTATTCAGTGATAAAGAAAGACAAAATCATATTTGCAGGAAAATATGTAGAACTAATCACGTTTAAATCATTACGTTAAGAAAAATAAGCCAGAGTCACAATGACAAGTATTTTTCATGTTTTCCGCGGTGTGCAGAATCTCAGAAATGCAGCAGAAGCAACATGAAAGTAGAAGGGATACTATTGAACCATGGGAAGAGGATCAGAAGGAGGCAGAAAAAGGGTATGAGAGATTAATAATGAGACGCATATGACTGAAGTAGGTTGTATGCATGTGTGTAAGTCCTGCATTGAAACTCAATCATACATATGCACTAAACACAGACACACACACTCATGCACACGCAGGCACACACGCACATGATGTACTAAGTTTTAGGGCAGAAATGGCCACAATAGCCAAAAAACTTGAGGCATTCCAAATGTCCATCAGCTGGTAAACACCATGTTCTAAATTCACACAGTGCAATTACATTCCACAATATTTTAATACAGTCCAATAAAAAGAAACAAGCCGAACAAAATGTCATATGCTGCAAGGTGACATTTTGGCATTGTGTATTACAATATGTGCAAGAATGGACATTTGTCCCCTAGTAAGGAGACAGTCTGGTCAAATGGAGTATCTATTTTAGTTTTTTGAACAATCTCCACACTGGTTTCCATAGTGGTTGTACTAGTTTACATTCCCAACAACAATTTATAGGTTTTTCTTTTTCCTCACAGCCTCACCAGCATTGGTTATCGTGAGATTTTTGGTGATAGTAGGAATGACATAGTATCTAGGGTAGTTTTAATTTGCGTTTCTCTGATGTTCAGGGATGATGAGAATTCTTTCATGTGTTTACTGACAATTTTTTATTTCTTCTGAAAGGTGTCTATTCCATTCAGTTGCCCATTTTGTCATTGGGTTTTTTATTTTCACGTGTCTAATTTTTTGAGTATTTGTATATTCTTTACATTAGTCCTCTGCCCGTGAAGTAGCTAGTAAATATTTTTCCCATTGTGTAAATTTACTTTGTACTCTGTTGGTTGCTTCCTTTGCAGTAGTGAAGAATATTAACTAATTTGATATAATGACTGTTGGATCTTGTCAAAGGCCTTTTCTGCTTCTGTTGAGATGATCACATATTTTTGTTATCAGTCCTATTCATGCAATAAATTTCATTTTTTGATTTGCCTATATTGACCCATTCTTGCATCGCTGGGATGAATCCTACTTGATCATGATATATGATCTTTTCGATGATTTGTTACATTCTGTTTGCCATCATATTAGCAAGGCTTTTTAAAAATCTATGTTTATTTAAAAAGTTGGTTTCTTGACTTTTATGTTTGTATACTTGTCTGGTTTTTGGATCAGAATAACTTTAGCTTCCAAGAATGATTCTGGAAGTATTGCTTCCCTCTCAATGTTATTATTGTTTGAGGAGGTTTGGTTTTAGATCTTCCTTGAATATTTTTGTTAGAATCCTCCTGTGAGTCCATCATGTCCTGGGCTTTTCTTTTTTGGGTTATTTTTAAAAATTGTTGCTTCAGTTTCATAAATTATTATTGGATTGCTCAAGATTTTTAAGTCTTCTTGATTGAGTTTTTCCAGTTCATATATATCTAGGAATCTCAGTATTTCTTCTGAGTTCTCCAATTAGTTGGCATTTTATCTGTGGGTTAGCTGGCCCTTTTACTAAGTCCTAAATCTTTCTTTTGCTTTTCTAAAAGTCTCTTATTACAGATTGATTTTGGTTTCAGCATGTATGTCCTTCCCCTTTCTTCCAGTTACCTGTGTTCTTAGTTCAATTTCTCTAGGTAGCTTTGAATGAGGCTCCTCCTCTATTCAGCCATCTAGATTTTGTTTCCTAATCCATTCTGCTAATCGTGTATCTATTAATTGGAGAATTGAGAACATTTACATTGATAGTTGTAATTGATAAGTATTGACTTTTTCCTGTCATTGTGTTAATTTCTCATAGTTGTTTTGCTTTCTTTCCCTTCTACTTCATTGGTAAGCATACTTAGTGTACTCATTTTGTTGGACATTTTGGCATTGTTAGTTTCATTGTCTCCTTCTAGGATAGCCTTGAGAATTTTTTGCAGTATTGGTTTGGTGGTCATGGACTTTCACTTTTTCTTTATTATGGAGGCTGTTATTTTTCCATCAAATTCAAAGAAAATTTTACAGGATATAACAGTCTGGGTTGGCAGTTGTTTCCTTATGGAGCTTGAAATATTTCATTCCATAGTCTTGCCATGAAGAGATGTGTTGAGAAATCTGTTGCAATTCTGACTGATTTTCCTTGAAGTTATTTGTTGCTATTCTCTAGTAGCCTTTAGGGTTCTATTCTGGTGTTGGATTTCTGCTATTTTAGTTATTATGGGCCATGGAGTGGTTTTCTTCTTATCATAGGTATTTGGGATTCTATACATTCCACTGATGTGTTTGTTAAATTCTTTTCATGTCTGGAAAATTTTTCTGCTATTAATTATGTAAATGGGTTTTTAAAAATGTCCTTTGTGCTATCTGCTGATTTTTCACTAATTCCATTCCTCATGTATTAGACCTCTTTCAGTCCTCTTGCCAGTGTTAGATCCATTTCTCATGTTTTTTTGTTGATTTCTGAGGTATCTGTCATTAATTGATCACTGATCACCATCTTGCCTCTTGGTGTGACATGCTGTGTTCACACTGAATCCTTCTGCTCACCATATTTCCAATCTTCTGAAGTTCAGTTTGCAACTTTCTTATCAACTCCCATTTTTTTATTCTAGGCTTCCTGTTGTGCAACTCTTTTATTAGCTCCATTTCCTGTTTATTAGTGTCTTTTCTGTACTCACAGATCATTTTTTCCATTAGTGTCACTATCAGGTTATTTGTATCTTCTTCAAATTTCTCAAGCTCCTTATTGAACTCCTCTACTTGAGTTGATTCCTTTTCAGACCTATCCGCTGTGCTGCTCATGATTTCCTCACTCTGAACACCCCTAAATCAGTTTGCAGGGAGGTGGAGGGTTTTGGAGACAATTTGTTGACTTGTCTTTTCACGTTTCTGTTATTTTGTTCATGTTTTGCTCTGGGGTTCCCAAGTTCGCTGGACCACTGCTCTGCTCTTTGGGAGTGAAACACACAGTATTGTTTACAAACCCAGGCAATCCAGCTGTTGGTATAGAGAGAAAACCGATTGCCAGCCAACACTATATTACTTGGCTATAGTAGCAAATTCAGCAACAATGGCATCAAATGTCAACTGGTTGTTAACAAAACCTAAGAAATATTCATGAGCAGCCTTTAACCAAAACAACAGGGACTATGATTTTAGTGAGGACAATTAGGCCTCTCCTATATTGGCATTTGTACTTCAGGCCTTTAATTTCTGTTGGATGTAGGCAGCAGTTCCAGAGCTCAAACACATCACTACACTAATGCCTTCATACTAGGACTTCCCACTTTGATCATTACTCCCACCAAACCTGCACTCCAAGTTGAACATGTGCTCTGTGATCTTCCTGGGTTAAGCCTGGGCTTCCAGGGATACCCATAAGGTCCTTATTTTGCTGTCATGCTCTCAAAGTCTATCTTCTAAGCCTGGCTCTCAACCAGGTTCTTTGTAGAGTATCAGTTCAGTACTGAAGAGAAACTCTCCTGGTACTCGGTCACTTCTTTGGTCATGTTGGTCTGTTAGTTGTCACCTCCCTTGACCTGTGCTGTGAAGAAGCCTAGGGTCAGGGTGCATGATTTCCTGTTCTCCTGGCCCAGCATGCGCTGAGTAGGCATGAGTGTTGGCTGGGGGCATGGTGCACAGTTACCAAGTCCTCCTGCCTCACTGTTGAGCCTGGGTGGGTGTTGCTCTCCGCTCTGAAGTCACGTTATCTTTGATAAAAAGGAGATGTGTTCAGGAGCCTTGGTTGTGATTACTGAAGATAAGTACTATTTTTGTCAATTGCATTGAAAGGTGAGGCAGACAATGAGAACAATTTTTGAGGGAATTAAAGTTGATGCATAGAACCTGATTACAGAAATTGCTTTTTTAAAAAGGAGCAAAGTGCCAGAAATAATTTTAACAAAAGGTGAACTGTTATGTCTGGAAAATGAGTGTACACTGCTGTGATAGGACTGAGCTTGTGGAATATGGAGTGATCTATAACTCATTTCAATCTGGAGTGCCCAATTTACTAGATGTACCTACATACCAAAGTTGTTTAGTCCTATGAGTACATCCTTTAAATTTGATAGGGATGAAAAGAGTAGCTATCTTACTGTCTTAATGTAAGCAGTAAGAATGTGATGTATGCAATCCCTTTGAACAATTCTGAACACATTATAAAATTCTCCAATATCACACAGTATATTTTAGTGACTTTTTTATTACAGTACAGTGGTTACCCAGTCAGGAGAAATATTGAAACATACAAGGAGTGACTGGTTATCCAAACTGTAGTGGAATATAAATTGATGGAGGTCTTTCCATGTGTCATTGGCCATTTTGCATCTAAGACTTGACATTTACATTATTTTTTTTCAGATCAATATCTTTATCTGAATTTTTAAAAATTTATTTATTTATTTATTTTAAAAACTAAAAAACTAACAAAACAACAATGAAGACAAAATCAAAACAACACAAAAACAACAAAAAATGATACATAACCTCAAAACAAAATGATAGCAGCCATGGTTAATTCCTGACATTTACATTATTATAATGTGTACTACCTACCTACCAGTAAGAGTTATACTTCCCAATTTAGGTGAGCACAATTAGTGATGTAATTAATGTTTTTAAAATATACTATTGTATTTCTTAAACACTGTATAATGTATTTACTTTATAATGTAGTCTATATTTTTTCCTACTTACATACAGGGTAATAAAAAAGGGTTGGAGTGTTAATGAGCTGAGGGAATCAGAATGACAACCAAGATTACAGGATTCAGTGAAAACTCCTTCTGTCTTCACTTTATTCTTCTCCTTACCTCTTTCCTCCTCCTCCTCTTCCTTTTCCTCCTCCTCTGTTTATAGTAATGCAGACTGAACCCGGGTGCTTAGCACTGAGTTATATTTCCAGAAATTTTAAATGTATTTGATGACTGGGTCTCACTAAACTGCCAGCCTGTGCCTGAATTTGTGGTCCTCCTACATCAGCCTCCCAGAGCGCTGAGATCACAACTGTGCACCAGCATCCTGGCTGGATGCTACACTTTTTCACATAAAGTATCAATGATCCTAAA